TGCCTGGAAAGAAGGAAATTAATCTAAAACTGGATTATACGCTTTGTAAAATGGTCATATATATACTGTATGCAATTTGGATTTAATGGGCTTAAATATGAAAATAACTACTCTGTTCATTTTCAAAGGCCAAGATTTACAAGTTTCTGACGTTACAGAGACCCTAAATGACTAAAACATATGTAATTTTCACCGTGATTATATAACTGGAGCAGCAGCAGTGTCCAGTGACGAGCTGATATATCACCACGTTAAAGCATACAGAGGTGTTGGGGTTAGCAGTGCTACTATTTCATATGGTTGCATGGAGTTGAAATCTAAAAATCTGTCTCTGTTTTGGGAGATGAATGCCACTAAAAGGTGCCATGTGCAGCATTTTACTGTCTATAAATCACTCCACACATTTGTTAAGCAGACAGTGATCATTCTCTGCAAAAACGAGTCACCGGGTTGGAGGATTGGCTCAGCAGAAGAGAACGACAGTGAATGATGTTTGGAGGCTGAGAAGAACTGATAAACTATTAAGCAGTTTTTCTAATTGTGCTGCTCTTGAAATTAGTGGAATTGCAGTAGATGTGAAATAATTATAATATGGTGTCTTTCATTACTTTGTTAAACAACTTTGTTAAACTCTGTCAACAAAGAAACAGATATTCTCTTAACATCATTTCTTTAAATTAAGGCATTGTTTAGCATTAGCAGCTACACAACTAGCTGGTTAGCTTTACGCCTCCCACTACTGAAACTATTGGGGTCCACTCATGTCAGTATTTATAACAACATACCATAAAACTTCAGTTAGTAGCCTGTTAGGACCCTTTTATTTGCCTAAATCAGGGGTCAGCAACCTTCACTATCTGAATGTTTTGGCCAGAAAGAGAAACTTATAGGACGGCGTTGGGCCTCCATCAATGAAAGAAAAATGAAAATACCTCCTGGTACGACTTAAGCAGGAAGCTAAATGCTAGCCGGCTATGTTGATAAAAGAACAGTGCTCCAGATTGCAGCAACAGCAAAGCCTGTCATCTACCTCCTTACTGTACACTTTAAACCTGGAGACCTTCATCGGTTTTCATTCATTCCTTCAATGAAGTGAGGAGCTCCTAAGAACCTTTGGTGGTAGCTGGATAGTTGTCCGGGTGGAAACAGTAGACTTTTAGAGTCAAACGGCGCCAGACCCAAGTTTGTGATGGTGAAAGGTGTGAAAATATGTCAGATATCGGGAGAAATAGAATTGTGACCCCGGGAGGAAATCGGTAAAGGGCAATGAAAAACCTAAATCTCCCGGGAAAATTGGGATTATTGCCAAGTACGGGTCTCCATGACATTTAGCACATCTATTACTCAGGTGTGAAGCTGACACTGCCCACACGTTGAAGATGATAAACCCTTTTCATTTAGGGAACAACATGACCTTTTCATCTGGCACCACCCTCAGGAAAAACGTCTGTCTGTCGTTATCGTCCAGTTCATCCTTCCTGGTGTATAAACGGTGTTGCAGCCTCACAGAGGAGCTACTGTCCACACAGACTTCAGGTGTCCTTCTGATTGTGGTGCTTTCTTATCTATTGGCGAGGCTTTTGTTTAGATTAAGGTTAGAGTAAGAGTTAGGCCAGAGGCTCAATGACTTGAATTGAACAGTCATTAGGTACCAAAAGGAGATCATATAGAACAGCCTGAATGTGCAGGGATGGGTCTCGCTGCCTACTACATACCTTTATGGTATCGACCAGATTTCAGGAAAAAAAAATACTATTTGTATGGTTCTGCCTTTTTTCCCTCATGTGCCTGCACCATAACCTGTATAAAAGACCTGCACACGCTCAGTCCAGCGTGATTTTAACAGCCGCTCACCTTCAGGCTGCGTGCTCAGACATGTTGCCAGTTTATCAGCACAAGCTCGGCTTTCTGTTGGTTTCATCTCCAGGGCTCAGTTAACACTTCTGTGTACATTTTTATTTGCCGTTCACATCACTTGTCACTGATCAGCTGATGTTACCGACGGCGCCTGCGGCTGCTTCAGGCGGCGCTGGTTTGATCGTCTGGACGTGCAGCCTCTCTGTCCTCTGCTCTTTAGTGTAGTTAAGTGACTAATTTCTCGTTTCATACTTGTCACTGTCTATCACAGAGGTTTGCGACTCACCACTAAAGGAAAAAGCGCTCGCGGAGATCTTTCAATTCAGGTTATTGATCGAAAGTTAACAAAATAACTTTCTGTTGTTCACTATCAACACACGTATCAAAAAAATACCTTAAATCGTTTCCCACAGCTTCTTTGGTCACTAAACTATTTCTCTCCTCTCTGATTCAAATATATAAATATAAAAGTATATATAAATAAAGTATAATACTACCCGTGAGGATGACCTAATCAGGATGAGGAGGATCTGACACAATACTTTTATGTAAGTTATTTGAAACAAGAAAAAAATTAAATAGATCACCTTCGTTGTCCATAAGAACAATAAAAATAATAATAGGCTACCGATCAACTACTGTGGCTTTGACAGGTGGCATTTTATGCAAGGTATTGAATGAAGTACTCTGTTGGTATCTGTATCACTTTAAGGGAACTGGTTTTGGTACTGGTATCGTAAAATTTTAAATGATACCCAACCCTAATGATGTGGTTAAATAAATAGCTCAGACAAACAGGAGTTTTGAGTATTTTTACTGTTTTTCAGTCAGGAACTTAAACATGCCATAGGACGAACCTTTTTTAATGTATTTGGCACAGCAATACTAGGCTATCTTGGCTCAACTGTTGAGTGTCTGTGGGATCAAATGACAGTATCCTGATCCCATAAGCATCCAGGAACTAAGCACAACTAAGTGAACTAAAGGCTGGGAAGGGGGCATACAGTGGATCGAAAAAGTCTCCACACCCCTGTTAAAATGCCGGGTTCTTATGATGTAAAATAATGAGACAAAGATAAATCATGTCAGAACTGTTTCCACCTTTAATGTGACCTAAAGTGTGAACAATTCAAGTGAAAAACAAACTGAAATCTTCAAGGGGGAAAAATGGTTGCATAATGTGCACACCCTTAGACTAATACTTTGTTTGTTTAAGCACCTTTTGATTTTATTACAGCACTCGGTCTTTTTGGGTAGGAGTCTGTTAGCATGGCACATCCTGACGTGGCAATATTTGCCCATTCATATACGGAGATAGTTGTCACATGTACCACACAGCCAGTACTTGCTAGAAATTCCTGCAGTTCCTTTAATGTTGCTGTAGGCCTCTTGGAAGCCTCGCTGACCAGTTTTCTTCTCGTCTTTTCGTCAGTTTTGGAGGGACGTCCAGTTCGTGGTAAAGTCACAGTTGTGCCATATTTTCTCCACTTGATGAAGACTGTCTTCACTGTGTTCCATGGTATATCTAATGCTTTGGAAATGCTTTTGTATCCGTCTCCTGACTGATATCTTTCAACAATGAGATCTCTCTGATGCTTTGGAAGCTCTCTGTGGACCGTGGTTATAGGCGCTTTCACACTGCCCAATTTTCCGGGATTATTACGCCAGTGCGGCGGCTTGCTGCGCTGTGTGAAAGGTACCGAGCCGGAAAGGTGGGTCCGATTTGATCCACCTCTCAGCTGGGAATGCCGGTAGTAACAGAGGCGGAACGATGTCTGTGTGAAAAGCCACAGCCGGAACAGGAGTGACGTTTCAAGCTGTTCAAGTCGCGGTCATTTTTTATAGGTCTAAATCCACCGACTCCTGCTGCGCCACGGCTTTGTTCGGTCCCCAGCCCGGCGTCAGTGTCCACTTGTTGTTTATTTGTCATTTTTGTGCTTCTACTACCTTCTCCACTGCTCTCTGTTCCCGTTTTGTTCTGCCAACTTTTCAGAATAAGAGCATTCTGCCTGCCCGACTTTGCTGACATGTTTTGATTATATTGATCTGGTAATCAGTGCTTGCTTTTGTGCTTCTACTATGATTAAGTAGGCCACGTAGTTAAATGGTTTCTTTTTTGTCTGTTGTGTTTATTGTTGTTTTATGATCGGGAATCTGCACAGGGTACTTTATTTTGAAAATTGACGGGAGGACCTCCGGCAGCCGCGCCGTAGGCAGACTCAGTGGAGGTAACCCAGAAAGCCAGAGCGCTACATGAAAGCACACATGGTTGCGGGATTACGCCGCAATATTTTGTTCAGTATGAACGAGCAAATACGGCGTATTGGCGACATTCTTTCCACGTTTATTGTGGAATCTCTGTGTGAAAGAGGCTACTGTCAGGAAAATCCTCCTAGAACAGCTGAACTTTATTTGTGATTAATCAGAGTCACTTTAAATGATGGCAGGGGTGTAATGACTTCTGGTTAACCTGAGTCTGAATGTGATTGGTTATTTCTGAACACAGCCACATCCCCAGTTATAAGCGGGTGTGCACACTTATGCAACAAGGTTATTTGAGCGTTTTTTATTTTTCATTTTTCCCCCTCAAAGATTTCAGTTTGTTTTTCACTTGAATTGTTCACACTATAGGTCACATTAAAGGTGGAAACAGTTCTGACATGATTTATCTTTGTCTCATTATTTTACATCACAAGGACCAGGCATTTTAACAGGGGTGTGGAGACTTTTTCTATCCACTGTATTTTCTCAGGCTCCGTCTGACGGGAGGCCCACAGTCTCAGCCTTTGGAAACCCTGTTTTAGGCAATTCATGGGGAAGCATTGTGTTCAAGAAGGACAGAAAGTATGCAAGTATAGAAAGATAAACAGTGTGTGTCTGTGTGTTGTCGAAACTAAATTTAGACAGTTTAGTTCTGCTCTATTATGCGTTACACTGACTCACCGCTGCTCACCGCTTCATGTGTCTTTATACTTACTGTATGTGTGTGTATATGTATGTATATATATATATATATGTGTGTATGTGGGTGAGAGTGGGATGTCTTCTGCTTTCAGAGAAAGGAGAAATGTGTGTTTATGAGTGTGTGCATTGCTCATATTTATACTAACTGTATTTCTATTTCTGTCTGTGTGTGGGAGCAGCCCTTCCTGAACCCAGAGGGGGGGTCGGAGTGTGACGTTGTCCTGCTGAACCGGTGGAGTGTCAGGAACTACCAGGTCCAACGAGGCGACATCGTCTCCGTCCTGTGAGTAACTGTTTCTTTACAAAACACACAACGCACCTTGAACTCATTAAAGCCATTTAGTGATTTGAAAAAGCTTCATACACTCAGGTGGATCTTTCACCCAGCAGTGAGGTGGATGTTTCTTCTTTCTGCTCAGGAATATTTAGGCAACTTGAACATCGGTACTTAACGTCCCCCTCTATTCCGTATCAAATACTGCATTTGGCATGTACACAACACATTAAACTCGTAGAATACAGCACAGGAGCAGCTACACTATTGCCCGACATCTGTATCACATACTTTACGGGCTTTGGAAGACCTTTGCAGCCCAACATAATTTGCGTATATGTATCCATGATTGGTAAAGCATACAACTAAAAGAAGGTGACTGAAAGTTTGGAGCGTGAGTGAGAGAGGCGAATGTTTATTATTCCATCAGATACAGTATATATTCTCCATTTTGTCCATCTCGCAATGCATAATTTCTCATTGGAGAAGTCGCGCTTTTCATCTCAATATTCTCGTGATTCTAAGCCAATTATCTATAAACATCTCTCTCAAATGCCAATTAAAACCTGAGAAGTCTGATTAAAAAGTATTTTTAAAGTTCAGCAGTAATGACGCAGGACACGTTTATATATTTATTTTATCGTATTATTATTTTACTTTTTAAATGACAGCTGCTTTTGAGTGCTTAGTTCTCTGGGAACAATAGGACCGGTCTTTATCTGGCCTTTCGTGGCTACAGTTAGATGAGTAATTCACATAAATCATATAATTTCTTTGTCCAACTGTCAACGCCAACCAGTTGGTCTTGCAGTAATATTTCAGTACTACCTTGATGACCCAGTGCAGCTAATGTCGAGCTCATAGCTAGAAACACATTTTGCAGGGAAGGTAAGTTCTTATATGCTCATATCAGGGTTTTTTTTCTGATTCATTTCTTTTTATTACGGCATCTTGCTTTTGTTAATCAAACTTTTGTATCCTTAAAGACAAGCAGGGCCGACAGCAGCAAGCTGGTTGATTTGTTTCTTACTTTCAGACAATCAGAAGCTTTGGAATATATTTAGAAAATGTGAAGCTAGGTGTGACATCTTTCAACAGAAACAAATAAGCTGCAGGGATGGTGAGAAATCCAAATTGCGTGTTTCATCAAGTAAACACAAGTTTGTTTGTACATTTAAATGCAAAGTCAGTGCTAACTGCTTTTGTAACTAGTTAGTTTCACATTTTGTTCAAATGCAGCTCGTCTAATTATTGTCTAACTAAAGTAAAATGTTCTGAAATGAGAACATTGTTGCTTCACACGGTGGATTATTCAGGCAACATGGGAATAAAAGCCTCAACTAACTAATGACAGAAAGTCACAGAGCTCAATATATTGTTCTATTTAAAAAAGAGAAGTGAATGCTGTCGTGTGTGAACTACATAACACTGATCGATCGCTTCTGTTCTGCTTGTTTCTTTATGGCTGTAGCACACACAAGCATAGTGATAAATACAAATGTCCTCCATCGTGATGAAAAGATTCTGCAGAGGTCGACATCTAAACAGTTACAAGCAATCTAGAGATTTTATTTAGTTATGGTGATTATCTTTTTGCACAAACACAGAAAACAAATTTACATATAAACCAAAAAAAAAGGACTGTACAAGTGAGAATAAATTAAAACCCCAATAGGGCTCTGCAAATCTTACCAAAAGAAGAAAGTAATAAAATATTGAAGCAAAACATGGAGAAAAACGTGCACGTGCTCTCGTCCATACAGCATAATACCTAACAGTCTTATTTACAAGGGAGTCTTTATCACAAATAAAAACACTTTTTAAAAACACAATAGTAACATACTACACAAAATTAAAATACAGTACAATGCGAATTAACACAATTAGTAAAAATATTTACATGGGCAAAATACAAAGAGTTCTGAATATATAAATGAAAGTGTAGATATCTTACTACAATTGATCAAATTTAAAAACAAGTTCAAGTGGCCGTTACAATGTCCGATATTCTTTTTTTGAATGCAGCTAAAGAGATCGGTATTCCAGTCTTAAGCTTAGATCCGAGCACGTTCCAGGACGACGGGCCGTAGTAAGACAGACTCCTCTTCCCTGCTTCAGTCCTCACATTTGGTACCTTGCAGTCCGACAACAGATCCTAAATTATAAGTACTTTGTGTGGGAGAAAATTTCGTACAGATATAAGAAGGCGAAAGACCAAGAATGGCCATGTGATTGAAAACGTACAAGTGTAGCATCCTGCGTGTTCTACGTGGCCAGTTTACCATACCGGTGTAGTGATGTGTCAGAGAGCTGCGTGATAAAGAGGGTCCAGCTTTGACAGCATAGATGGACATCCACATTTATAGATGATATCACCGTAGTCCAACTGCGACAGAAGGAATCCTGCAGTTTCTTTATATGTAGATTTAAAACAAAGTTTTAATTTATCTGAAAAGGTCTGGGTAAATTTGAGCTTCAATGTGTTTTTTTTTTTTTTAAAGGTAAAGCTTTTGTCCAGCCAGATATTCATAAGTATCAACAAGTTCAATGGTTACATCCTACACAGTGTTAACAGAGAGAGCCTGGACCTTAGTATAACCAGAAGCAAATGTCCTCATGTGTTCGTCTATACAGCATAATACCTAACGTGTCTGTCACAGGCAGTGTGCTCGCAGTATAAACATTGAATACATTTTTCATTAGTCTCTCCCATGTTATATCTCAACTGGACCGTGTAACTTCCTTCTGTGACGCCAGCCTTGTTTTATTTGGTCCGTTCGGTTGGTTTTGGTTTGGTTTCACGCTGCAACTCTGCGACCGCACTAAAGGACTTCAGTCAATCTGTGTGGGCTGCGTCTCCCTATATTTGACATTGATTGGTTTATTAAACAGGTCAGCAGGTAACTTTAGCATGAATGAATGAATAAAAAATGAACATATGCAGATTTGCCACCACTATATTGTTGTTATTATGGCATTACTACCTGCAGCACCAACTATACTGAAGGCAATTAAACGTCCTCGTTGTGCGAACATTATAACGTCGCCGACAGGAAAGGAGGAGAAGCCGGCAAAGCGATCCTGCTGCACCTCCGTTTGAGGAGAGCCCAAAGAGATGGGTGGCAGTGCTCCTGTAGTGGCCGTCTGTTTGAAAAGATGAGATTTACAGATCGTGTCCTTATTTCAATGCATTTCCCCGTGCATTTGTTTGATTTCGGTTTATACGGCAAACGCTGAACTTCCTGTAAATAGGAAGTCCAAACCACCCAAAATGCTTTCACACCAGAAACGAACCGTACCATGCTTCAGTTTGATCCGGACAGAGACCGCCTCTTTTTCTCGGACCATATTTCGCCTGTTTGGTCCGGGCTGTGGTCCGTGGGGGGTTTCACACCTGTGATTGTGGTTCAGACCAAACTGGAAAGTCCGGACCAAACCAGGTAGGTGTGAAAACCACCTTATTTGGGTCAATGACAACACGGCGGAAGATAGAACACAGTGATTTTTCACTGGTGGTCCAGTGGATAGCACTGTGGCCTCCCAGGAAGAAGATCACAGTGTTCAAACCCCGGTCACCCGGCCTTTCTGTGTAGAGTTTGCGTGTTCTTCCCGTGTCTGCGTGGGTTTCCTCCGCCATCAAAAAACCCATGTCAGGTTCTCCGGTCAGTGCCAGTGGCTCAGATCTGGAGCTGGTCCCTGGGCGCTGCACAGCGGCGGCCCACTGCTCCCTTGAGGGATGGGTTAAATGCAGAGAACAAAGTACCTTTCTGATTTTAAAAGTCAGTGAGGACCAGGTTAGGAAATTCATTTTGTGATTGTTGACATTCTGTTGTAGTCCGTAGCATCTGGGTTGGCTTTGTGGGATGTTTTTTTGCACCCTCCAGAATTTCTACTGTTTACTCTTGCACATTTGATCTCAAACTGCTGTTACGCAGCCCTCAAAAGTCTGTGTGTGTGTGTCTACCAGCATGTCTGAGCCCTGTGGTGTGGGACTCAACAGTTTTGTTCTTTTTTGTTTTGTCATTACAAAGCACCTGCATTGCTCTGGTGCTGTGCAGAATTTATTTCACTCCTGTTCGGCGGTGACTTTGGAAGTCGGCTGATATCACAAACTTTATGTCACCGACATGTTTCCAGTGCACCTGAACCGACACCAGCTGTGAACAGAGCGTGAAGGGAAAACAGTGCGATGCCATGTGGTCCAGTCAAACACTGCAGAGCAACATCGTGGACGTGCATGACGAGCCGTCACCGCTCATTAGGCGAACCTCGCCTCAGATTTCCTTTTTCCGTCTGAACGCGGCCCTGAAGCCTCACAGATGTCCGTCCTCGGCTGTTCCATTAACGCTCGGTTTCTGTGAAAGTCACACGCTCTGATTGAACATGTTCAAACTGCTGGCTGCTCAGAGAATAACAAAAGTGAGATTTCACACGAGGAAACTGACTGGTTTGACGGCCGTTCCGAGCTGTTCGATAGCGCAACGATGATGCTGTCAGCTTTTGTTGGTGCAGCCTGTGGAGTACACGCAGGAGGACAAACCCACCTCCATAGTTACCCACCTCCATAGTTACCCCTGGATGGCAGCCTCTCTCTCTCTTTGGGGACACGCTGTTTTGTTTGGGGGGAAAAAAGAGGTGTTTCTCAAAGTCTATTCCTGGCAGCGCAGGGAGCAGGAGCGCGGCGGTAATTTAACCTAATCTGAGGCTGAGAGCTGCTCACATTTAGCTCTGCATTGAAGAAGAGCTGCTCTTCCTGTGGTGGAGGGTAATGATCCAGCAGTGCGGCTTCACACAGCTGGACGGGCACTTTAGCATATAGAGTTAAAAAGAAAGGGAAATAGAGATACCGGTTGAGCGCAGAAACACTCTGACATTTAGATTCAAAGCAGCGTGCTCGTGGCATTATCAGCTCCGTGCACCTCACACCTCCTGCCCCTCCGAGCGTTTGTCTCTGTTTGTCTTCCGATCTTAACTCCACCTGTTTACCTGGCAGCCCTTTGAAGGAGGGG